AAATTTTTTTTTTTTTTTTTTTTTTTTTTTTTTGTCTTTTTTCCGTGTCCGGCAACGGATCGCAACCCTCAGTGTTGCCCCCCGTACCGGACCGGGGACCGGCAACGGGATCGCAAGCCTCGGTGCTGCTCCCGTGCCTCGCTCAGCCAGTGAGCGGGAGCCGGTCTGTATGTGGGATCCGAACCCTCGGACGGGAGCACCGCCGCGCTTCCCAAGCGGCGCACCATCCAGTGCGCCACCGGGCCGGCCCTAGAGTCCAGATCTTAATGACAGGTACTTGTGTGTTTATCACAGCAAAGTTAAGTCAAGGGGACTAACTTTAAAAGCTTTCTAATGAAATATATATTTAAGTCACACTTTAAAAATTCTTTTCTACAGCTGTCAAAACAAATACTATATGTGTATTTCAGGATTTACTTATTGGCCTTTCATATCCATGGGTTCCACATCTATGGAGTCAACCAACTGCAGATGGAAAACATTTTTTAAAAAACTGGGTCTGTAGCAAATGTGCACAAGCTTTTTTTCTTTGTCATTATTCCCTGAAAGATACAAGGATACTTCAAAAAGTTTGTGGAAAAATAAAGTTAAATAGTACAAATCTTTCCATGAACTTTTTGAAGAACTTTTGAAGATGGGAGGATGGTTATAAGTTATATGCAAATACTACGCCATTTTATATCAGGGACTTGAGCATCCGTGAATTTTGACCTCTACAGGAGGTCTTGAAACCAATCCCTCACGGATACTGAGGAACAACTGTACTTTTTAACAATGGGTTATTTTTTCAATATGGTCACGCCACATAGAATATAACCTTCAGGTAGCCAGGTAGAACTCTGTTAGGCTCCAACTTTGTCTTGTCAGAAAATCCAGTCTCCTTAACAATCTACATAGCACAACACGGATTCAAATGCATTCTCTACGGTAGGATGATAAATCAGTATAGTGCACTGAGGAATATAAAATGTGGTTTTTTATAGTCTAACAGATCTGGATTGATACCTAGCCCCACAACTTACTGGCTGTGTGATTTGGATTAACTTGATTAACCTCTCTCAACTTCAGTTTCCTCATAATTTACTGAGAAAAAAAAATATTAACACTACCCACTTCATAGAGTTGCTATAAAGACCAACTGAAAAACTATAAGCTAAGGAACTGCATAAAGCTTAACACCATGCACTAAATAATAGTTATTATTTTTAGTTCCATGAAGAATATACCTGGAAGAGAGAGCATTTCCTGTTAATAAATAACTAAATCTTCTTCCATTGAGTTTTATTCACCAAATATGTATTGGATGCCACATAATGTTCTAAGTGATAAGAATATAAATATGAATAAAGAACAGTCACTGCTTTCAAAAGCTCAGGCTTGTGGAAGAAAATTAATTCCATTAGTAGAGCTACAGAAGCAGGACTTTTCTTACCAGCAGCTTAGTCTTTCCTTATTTTTGGTTCACTGGCACATCATCATAAATAAATATATTTAGTCTGTAACATAAAGCTGCTTAAAATCATCTCAGCAAAAAGCACAGGTCACTATAGATCACTATTGAAAAATATGTATGCCACTGTGTAAAACAAAAGGGTTATCACAACAGTGCAATTTACTAAAGGAGTTGGAAACATTTATATCTATAAATGAGTACAAAAATTGTAACATTTATAAAATGATTTAAGGAAGTTTCTGAGTTGTTTTTATGTTACACAAAAATAGCTAGAAAAAAGAACAACAAAAAAATAGCTAGAAAGGAAAGCTACATCTAAGGAGTAAAAGCACCACAGTGTCTAATTTGTACTGAATACCTAAACAGCTACAGGATTAGTAAAAAAAATTCTCTTTAGCAAGACTGGACTCTATCTAAATTTGTCCTGGCCTAATTATTATGCCTAGTATTTATATAGGGCTTTAACAGTCAGCAAAGCACTTTCAGGTACAGGTTATTTGATCCTCAGAACTACTGTTAGAGTATAAACACTGTAAAGATCATGTTGAAGAAACTGAAGTTCACAGAGGTTAACTGAACTGCCCAATAGTCCAGGGATCCAGAACTTAGAGCAAAGGCCCTCTGACTCCATGCTGACACTTTGAATAAATGCCCTGCTAACTACAATGCAATTCCATTAATCTGTACCTCTGTGAGAAAGACGTAACAGTGCAATATTTCATTCACTGGTGCTTGAGGAGTTGAATGAAGTATTACATATATATACATATATGCAAAAAATGATTTCTAGGACATTCTGAAACAATTGCAAATAAAGTAACATAGCTCTGGAAAAATGGAAAATATAGAAGATCAACCTAGTAAGCGTAACTAGAGATTATGATAGGAACTGGAATGCATTAGATTTATAATTACTAATTCCTTTGAAGAGAAATGGCATCTTTATGCTATTTAGCCTTCTCATTCGGGGGAGGTTACTCCATTGATTCAAGTCTTCTCTTTGTTTTTAGCAACAACACATACAAGTCTTTTGCTAGGTTTTTTGATCTATGTTTTTAAAGTACTATGATGAGGATTGTTATATTTTAAAATAGTAGGCCGGCCTCAAGACTAAGGAGCAGAGTCACAGAGAGAAACAGGTTCTGCAAACAGCACTACAGTCCTCATTCATTTCTCAGTCTCTTCAGGTATACTCTCACAAATACCCAATAATCACTATTAATTGTCTTATACTCAAACATCAAAGGCAGCAATAGCAATTTAATGTTCCTACTCTGCAATTTCAGGAGAGAAAAACTTTTCCTCATCAAGGATTACTAACTCCAAGGGGGAAAATCATTTACTGTACAGTAATAAAGCTACTTACTAAAGTAAAAGTTTGTATCATTTCTGGAAATGATATATATGTAATATACCTTAGCATTTTCTCACTAAACATCAATTATTGTACTGTTCTACAAAATACTAATAACTTAAAATATTACTAAAATAGGGAGAGTTCTTTGCATATATGCCTAATGGTGTCAGACTGCTATATTTTTAGAGCTTTATTGCTTTATTGCTTTTAAATATCTTTTTAGAATTATGAAATATAGCACACAGATATAAAAGAATATCTATAACAGACACGGCTTTTAAAAATGATGGGACATTATTAATATCCCTTTCACATTGAATCTTTCTTCTTTCCTCTCAGAGTTAAACATTACCTTGAATTTTTTGTTTAATGTGCTGCTTTTTAGAACTTTTTTTTCCTCAAATTAATTTAATACAGACAGTCCCTGACTTAAGATGATCTGACTTACAACTTCTCAACTTTATGATTATGTGAAAGTGATGAGCATTCAGCAGAAACCGTACTTCAAGTACGCATGTAATCACTCTGTTTTCCACTTTTATTAATTCAATAAATTACATGAGACATTCAACATTTTATTATAAAATAGGCTTTGTGTTAGATGATCTTGCCCAACTACAGGTTAATGCAAGTGTTCTGAGCATGTTTAATGCAGGCTAGGCTAATGTTTGGTAGGTTAGGTGTACTAAATGCATTTTCAATTTAGTATATTTTCATTTACAATGGATTTATTGAGATGTAACCCCACTGAAAGTTGAGGACCATCTGTACTTGTTAATGTCTGCTTTCAGAAACTCTACCAAATGGAAATTCGATCATCTGTTTTAGATAGCAAAACTGAGAAGCAACCTCCTTAGGACTGTGATTTTAAGCAAAATTTGATAGGTTCCAAGAGAGGGACTGAGGGGTTCTCTTCTGAGTAAAGTCCATGAGCATTACTGCACCTTCACTGGGACATCTTCTTTATCTGTTTAAAGGCCCTTGAGTTTAATTGGTACTACTTAAGATTGTTCCAGATGGTTGGGATTGCCAAGTAGATGACCTTATAAGTCGTATGTTATGTAGCTGAAGTATTTGCAGACTAAAAGATCCTGAAGTGATGTTAACAGTCAACAAATCCAATCTCTTCACTACCTGTGGGAAAGAGGAAGCTCCCAAAATTTGAATGACTTGCCTTAAGTCACAAAGTAGTTAGTAGCAGACCAGTGGTTTCTAACGGAGCTCCCCCAAAGGATATTAGCAATGTCTGGAGACATTTTTCTTTGTCACACTAGGATAATGCTACTGGCTTCTAGTGGGGAGAGGCCAGAGATGCTGCTAAATGTCTTACAATGTACAGGACAGCCCCTCACAACAAAGAATGATCTGGTCTAAAATGTCAACAGTGCTAAGGCTGAGAAACCCTGACTTAGAACTACACTTGGTTATATCTGTGAATCAACTTTACATCTCATACAAACATTCTGAGAATAAGTGTGTTAAACCAGGTTACTTCCCTTAGGCAAACACGCAGGCAAATTTAAGGATCCAGTTTATTTGATTCCTCGTGTGATAGCATACGATAGATGAAAGAATAGATCATACTCACCAGGAGCCAAAACCCAAGGGTCTCCTATCATAATCTGGCAGTTCTGGAGCCATCTTACAGGCTTGTATGTTCAGGTATTTAAATATGTGGACTTTGCCTTTTATACATATCTAAACAAAGTAACATATAAATGCAATCAAATTATTACTTATCTGAAATATATGTTCCTTTTTATCATAATCAACATTTCACCCAATTAATGTAAACTGGGAAGAGATGCATTTTTATCAAGTATGTACAGTAATATTAAAAAACTAATATCTATATTATTACAAATTATATTATTTGGTTCAGTTTTATTTTAGGTGTTTAACAGGTAAATACAGGTTTTTGTTTTCTATTCACTAATAAGTTTCAGTAACACAAAATAAATAATCTACGATTACAAATATCATCTGAATACCAAGTAATCATATCATGCTTGTTAGTTATGCATGTCAGGGATTTAAAGCACTTCTCCCCAATAGATTATATTGGCAACTTTTTGCTTTTAGGAGAGTTCCAGTCAAGATGGCGGACTAGACGGTCCGCAGCATCACTCTCTCCCACAAATCAACCAAATTTACAGCTATAAAAATGTAACATCAGCCAAGCTGGGGCCACTGGAGCTCAGGGGACGAGGAGGAGAGACCTACAGAGTTCATGAAGGCAGAAGAAACTATGACGAGAGAAAGAAAAAGCTGCTCTGAGCATTTCGGGTTGTGGCTGCTTTAAGGCTGGAACTGCTGAGCGCATGGAGCAGGAGCCGGCAAAAGCCACAGCTGTGCCCTTCAGATGGAGTTACTTGGAGGTAGCAGGAGAAAAGAGGGCCTTGGCGGCCCCCAGGACAGCAAGACCACTAATAGGTTTCCTATGGACCCACAAAGGAGCGAGGAGCCAGAACAACTGAAAAAAGGGAGCCATTCAGAAGCCGGTGAGTCATCGCAACGGAACAGTGCAGGGCCCATCCCATGGGAGGTGTTTGGACAATGGGCAGTGGGTGAGATGGGAACTCCGGGAGAACACTGGGACACAGCAAAGACAGCCGACCTGCCCCCCAATCAGCACAGGACCACTCAGAGGAGACCGGTCTGGAATGCAGAATTGATGAAAAAACTCAGGCCCTGATCAGAGTTTCTACAGAACACAGATCCACTGGATCTCTGGAGAGCCGGAAGTACCTATAAGATCAATCAATAAACCCAGAGCTGCACAAAAAGTCTTCCCTAGGGAAGCAGCAGCAAAGTAGCAACAACCACAGAGCTCAAGTACTGGTTCCCAAAGGAAGTTCCCCTGTGTTAGAAGCAAAAGACAAAAAATTAGTTCCGGCCCAGGCACACCACCAGCATCTTGGGGCCTGCCTGGGAATCGGAGGCTTGGATCCAGGGACCAGACCCCACTCCCACTTATAGGCAAACTGCACCAGTCTCGTGGACCCAGGGCTTGGAAGGGGACTGGGCCCCTCTCCTTCAACCAGGCACAACAATCCAGCTCCTTGGGTCTCATCCAGTGACCTGAGGCATGGAGAAGGGGACCGGCCACCCCTCCCACAACCAGGCACATGGCGCCAGTGCCTTGGGGTCTGCCCAGGGACCAAAGGCATGGAGAAGGGGACCAAACACACCCCACAACCAGGCATACCACCAGTGCCAAGGAGCATACCAAAAACAGCACCTCCACGTGGGTGGCCCACCACAGCCACCACAATAACCAGGCTGCTGCAAAAGTGGCTAAATGCCACAACCACCATGCAGATGGTCCGCCAACCACTGGAGTGCATTCACACAAGAAGAGTCACCAGCAGAGACAAAGAAGAGGATGTCTCTTTTCACAAAGCCCATTTCAGAATGACAGAAGAAGCATCTGCTCTATGATAATATTGGGGAACCTGATCACATCTCTCAGCATTGGACAGATCATCTAGGCAACAAATTAACAGAGTAACCATTATTCTTTCAGAAGGAGAGAAGAAATCTAGGGCAATTGGAGGGGGGAGGAGGAGGGAGAGGGGGATGAGGAGAGATTGGACAAGGGGCATAAAAAATAATTATGATTTGTAACAATATATACGCTAGTAATATTGATTTAATCAACATATCTCAATGTTCAACCCCCAAAATACGTGTGATCAATTTTGATTCAATAAAGACAATTAAAAACAAAATTAAAAAATCTTTTGCTTTTAGGAATCCAACAATCATACGCAATTAAGTTTTCAGTCCTGCTTTCCATAAAAGAGAAGAGCAAGAAATGATGAAATATTAAAGTTATATAATTTCTGTTTCTACTTGTCTCAGAAGCCAAAATACAAAATCTTTATGCTTATGAGACCCTTCTATTGTTATTAAATTTACTCATAAATTAGCAGTTGGCATAAAGATTACCATAGGCTGGTACAAATTATCAATAAACTGCAGAGTTAAAAAAAAAAAAGCTAAAGTGGAAATTATGGGTTGGCAAAAATTTTACAGATTGTAGAATGTCTAGAATCTATATGCAATGCTACCTTATAATTACTTTGTTACTAAATAGTTTCATTTTAGTCACTGATAAACAAGTGACCAAACTGGTTAAATGAGGAACTTTTAGATTTTAGAAAATAGGAAGGTACAAAAATAATGGTCAGAAGAAATGCACTGATAATCTTTAGTTCTGAAAGCTAAGTATTTTTAGTCTCTAGCATTTATGTTGTCCACATTCAAATTTTACTAGAAAAAAAATTTTGTTTTTTGCATTTATTTTTAAAACAATTTATTTATATTTATTGAAACATAATTAATTGTAAATATATGTAGGGTATGCACTGAATATCAATACCTGTGTGCAACATGTGATGCTCAGATCAGAATAATTAGTATACTCAACATTACACAATGTAATAATTTTTTTGGCCTTTTACCAATTTCTTGCTAACCCTCCCTCTTTCCCTTTCCCTCTGGTGGCCTCAATTCTGTTCTCTCCTTTTGAAAGTTTAACATATTATTGTGATTGTTGTATCTTTCTTTCTTAGAAAAAAATTAAGAAAGAAATTAACTCAAATTTTATTAGAAAAAAATTTAGGAGGAATTCCTCAACTTAAAAACCAATTCAGTAAATGGAAGAACACTGCTGGAAACAGCACTTATCCTCCAACCCATTTATTCAAGGTTTCTAATAAATTCACACACATGTGTATTCTTTAAGAAAACAAAAAACAAACAACAAAACTAATTTCAAACAGAAAGATAAATACACACAATTAAATTTTAAATTTCCTTTGTCAAAAAAAATCCATACTTCAACTCAGTTTACCTGTGCAGGAGGTGATTGCAGTGGATTGTTATCTAGGGTGATCACCTGTAGGTGCCTGAGATTCCGATAACAAACAGGGATTGTTGTAATTTTATTGCATGAGAAGTCTAACCGTATCAAAGGCAACTCTGCCAGTTCTGCATAAAGGTAAAATGAAAATGAACAATTAATATTTTTAAACTAGACAATTTTTTCAAGAGCTTTGAGTTAAATATAGTGCATTTAACATAGGTATTTATCTCCATTCTCTCTCAGTGATTAATTAATGTAGCAAAGTGGTGTAAAATAAAATTTAGCTGCTTACAGATAGGAATACTAGTAAAAATCAAGCAGTTTGACCCCCCATACAACTACAGAAAGTCTCAGAAGCTAGAGGCCCTGATACCACAAAAAGGTATGGATAACAAAGAGATTAGATGACAGTCTATATAAAGAGCAGTTAGATGCCTAGGTCCCCAACCCCAACACACACAGCTGGGACACAACCCTTCTTCAATCCCCACAGGAGTCAGCAAATTAATTCTTGAGCAAAACTGAATTGAAAAGGCTCTGAACTCAGGGAACCCAGACCCATGGAAAGTCGGATGAGTTGCCAGGTGAAAAGTGAGGATTTAAGTGGAAGTCTTCTACACAATTAATGGCAAGATCTCAGCACCTTCTCACCCCAACCCACCTCATCTCCAGCTCTTAAATGCTGGTAGTTAGAAATACACATAATAAGGGCTGGCCCGGTGGCGCACTGGAGAGTGCGCCGCTTGGGAGTGTGGCGGTGCTCCCGCCGAGGGTTCAGATCCCATGTGGAGACCGGTTCCCGCTCACTGGCTGAGCACAGTGCAGGCGAAACACCGAGGGTTGCGATCCCGTTGCCGGTCCCCGGTACGGGCGCGACACTGAGGGCTGCGATCCCGTTACCGGTCAGTAAAAAAGACAAAAAGGAAAAAAAAAAAGAAATACACATAATAATATAGAAGAAATGTAGCATCTTTCTCTGGAGAAGCTATACAGTCCCATATAAAATAACTTTAGATATCAATATGGGTATTAATATACAGCTTTCTGCTTAATTACTATCATACAATTTCTGCCCAGTATACTCAGATCTTCTAATCAGCTGTATACTGACAGTATATGAGCTACAGACATTTAGAGAAGTCTCCAGCATGTAAAATGGAAATCAAAACCAACCAACCAACTAAAAAAAAGGAACTCAGACAAAATGGGTAATATATAGGAAACAAAAAAATTTTGAAAAGTTATAATTAATATCTTAATTTCAGAGATAAGATACTGAATCACTGAAACATGAAAGGGATATTTTAAAAAAATCACAGAATAACAAGAGTTCTCAGAAATAAAAAATATGATGGAAGAAATTAAAAACTCAGAAGAATGACTGGAATATAAATGACTGGAACTATTTTACCGTAGGGTAACATAAAATGACAAAAAAATGAACAACAAAAAAGAGGAAAAAAAAACATAGAATAAAAGAGGTCTAACATCTAATTCAAAAGAATTCCAGAAAGAAAACAGAATAACCAGAAGAGAGGAAATTATCAAAAAGAGATATATGACAATTTTCCAGAGTGAAGAATATGAATCTCTGGTTTGAAAAGAAGCCCACCAAGTATCCAGCGCATTAAATTAAAACTCATGCATGGCACATCATCATAAAATTTCAGAGCAGCAGAAAAAAAGGGAAGATCTTAAAATCTTCCAGAAAGAAAAAGTTGGTCACAAGCAAAGAACTAGGATTAGGAAAGTCATCAGATTTTCAACCATCAATTTTTATCATTGAAAGCTAAAAGTGAAAAAGAGTTAACAATCCTGAGAGAAAATAGTTTTCAACCTAGAATTTCTAATCAAACAAATTATTAATCAAGGGTGATCATAGAATACAGACATTTCTTTTCAAGTGATGTCTCAAAAAATGTTCTTCCATGACATGTTCTCAGGAAACTAATAGATGTCCTCCAGCAAAACAGGGAATAAACTAAGAAAGAGGAAGATAATGAAGTCCAGGAATAAGTGTATTCAACACAGAAGAGAGAAAGCTGGGCAGCAACATTAGAGAACCATCACCCTTGATCAGAAGAGAAAGAAAAAAGAGTAAGTGAGGGAGATATGTAGGGAAAAAATTGTGATGGATAATCTGACTGGTTTGATTAAGAAGGCTGCTGGAAAAAGTGGGTAGAATTAGCCATAGATACCTTTGAAAAAACTAAGCAAATAAAAAAATGAGGAATGTTAACTCTAGAATACGATAACAACAACAAGATGTACAGAAAGGAAATAAAATCAGAGTACATCACTTGAATTGGCAGGGAGCAATATTTATATAGTTACAGTAATGTAAACAATTTACTAACACTAACTATTTAATCAAAAGTTTTAATAAAAACTACACTGGAAAGATGGGAAGAGGGAACTAAAGGTATGGTATGGTGATAGTGTAAGAAAATCAAATCCTGGGCCGAGCCCGTGGCGCACTCGGGAGAGTGCGGCGCTGGGAGCACAGCAGCGCTCCCGCCGCGGGTTCGGATCCTATATGGGGATGGCCGGTGGGCTCACTGGCTGAGCGCGGTGCGGCCAGCCACAAAAAGGACAAAAAAATAAAAAAAATAAGAAAATCAAATCCTCATCTATTATAATAGGAAGCTGACATAAGTGTCAAAGTTGACAAATCCAGTAATAGTTATAAAAGCATATCATTTAGAAATATGTCGGCGAACATCAGTGGAAAGTCAAAGGAGTTCAATGAAGGTAGATGCTTCTGGCCATTAAAACTGGGGTGTGGGAGGAAAATGCTATTATTTATTTTAGGCTTTTTAATACTTACTGAATGTGTAATATATTACTTGGTAAAAATTAAAATTAATTTAAAATCAAAATGACAATATAACAAAAGATGTAATATGTTATCTATTAAATTGTAATATGTTAAAGACTACCAATTAACAGGAACTTCCACACTAATTTGTATAGCTGTTGGAATAATGGTTCTCTTGCCATATCAGTTTAACTAAATATGCTAAGATTACAAAATAAGCTTGTAATTACAAAATAAGCTACTAAAAAACCATTTGAAACTATCTGTGTGATTCACAATTTTCTTGGTAGTCTATAATTAAAATAAGATACAGAAATAAATTAGATGATAAAACTATTACAATGTCATCTAAAACCCCCAATTTTCACTTTCAAACCCCCAATGTTTCCATTAATTGATTTCATATTAAATAAATACTATTACATGAGTAAACCTCTAATGGTCAACTAGAGTAAGTGGAGCCTGAGTAGAAGGGTAATCCTAGAGAGAAATGTTGGGTCATAAGGTCCTATGTCATGATTTTGGTTCTGCTGAGAGCCTTCATTCACACTCCTGATTTGGCAGCAAACAGAACTAGGAGGAAATGAGTATGACCCTGAAGATAAAAGGTGTGGAGGTTACTGTACAAGCCTAATGAGAGAAAAGATATACAGGATTTTGGGTAATGTGGTTACAGAACAGATAACATTATTAAGTAAACCATTAGATCTCAAATACTAGGTGTAACTCATACATTTTTGTCTTGTGTCTATCAGTCTGAGAGATCTTTAAAATAAAAAAAGAAATAATAAACAATTATTTCATAGTTTCTTACCTTCAGGCAAATGTACTAAGTGATTTCTTCTTACGTTAAGGTCTCTCAAGGCCTCCAGATTAGCAATTTGGGAAGGTATAGTTTGAATTTCATTGCAGCTCACATCCTATTTTTATAGGATACAAAGTAAAGATTATTCTAATATTACAAACTTGCCTGCTTTAAACTATCTATAAAATGAAATTAGATAAAATAATCCCTGTGGCCCTTCCCAGTTGTAAAACAAAAATTATGATTCTGTGTCCAAGAATAATCCCACAGTTTGTACTCACATTTAATTTTAAAAACTTATAGGCTTTTGACTGTATATTTTATATAGATCTACATGAATTTCTTAAGCAGAATTAAAATTAAATGACTTAAGATGTGAATAGGAGGCCTAGAATATCAGATCAAATGAAGACATTGGTGAAAAGGTAATGTAAAAAAAGTATAAAAACAGATCTATTTAGGACAATGTTTTTATTTTATATTTACTGAAACTAGAAAAACAAAACAATTATATAAATTATAATGATAAAATTATTTGAAAGGAAACCCCGTTTTCAAAATACCAGTTCAATTGTTCAAGAATATAAAGATGACTCAAATCATTCTTTATCAAACTAAATGTGAGGGAAAAATAATAAAGTACATATAACTCAAAGGCCATGGAAAAAATAGAGACTGCTCTATTAATATTTGATCAACCTGATTCCAATACATATATTGGGGAGGTTTTCTGGTATCTTGGTTAATTCCAAAGGTTCTGAAAAGAGACTGTCTATAGGTTCCAAGATTAATAAATTCAGAATTCCATAATTCTGAGAATAATTTATAAACCCTTAGTCATGTGTAGCAGAGAGAAGCTACCAAGGTTAATAAAAGCCCCAAGCTGCCGCATTAACATTTAACATTCTTCCAATATGAGTAAAAGAATATATTTACTATTTAGAAAAGACTGCTTACCAAAAACTTCAATAAGCCCCAGGCATTATTTTTTAATTTTCCCAAAATATTCTTAGAGAAAACAATACTATTTTAACTTTTCCTACCAGTTAATAACTGAAATAGAATCAGAAGCTAGATATAACAGTCCGATGCTATAGGCATCAACGTTAAAAGGGTTCTAAAAGAAGTTGAAAGGACAGGAAAATTGACTCTGGGCTAAAACATAACAGCAATTTATAATACATCTCTCAGAAAAAATAAAGGTTGAAAGACAGCAGTTTACTTCCACTTAAAAATGAAGGGGGAAAAAAAGGAAAGAGGCAATAAGGAGGTTGCAGAAAGACCATCAGATAGGAATCAAAAGCTTTAGGGTTACTACTTCTTCCTCTGCCATAAGCTCCTTTTATAACTAGGGTTATCAACCTCTTTTGTAGAAAACTAAAAGCAGCTTTTATGAGACATACCATTTTTTAAGTATTAGAATTGACTAAGTAAAAACAGAAAGTTTAAATGATTTGAAAATAAGAATTTGAATTGGAGTATAATTTACTATCAGTTCATGTTATTAACCCAAGCTCTGAAGAAATACCAACAAATACACATTTTGGACTCTATTTCCTAGATTTAATTGGCTCTAAAAACAGTTTATACAATCTGGACTCTAGATTTAATATATTTGTGAATATTTACATGTGACCTCTTATATTCATAATCTACCTGAAAAAAAAGTGATGTGATTTGTGGTTCAACTATATTATAAGTGTACTAATTTTTTCTGCTTATGATAACCGTCTTTGTTAATAAACCTACACAGAACTATACTCCCAAGTCTCAATGAATGTAATTGTATTTGACCGTTTCAGAAATATGAAACATGAGCTTTGGAGTTAAGGTAGACTAGTTTCAAATTCTACTTCTATTATGTAACTTTGGGCAAATTACTTAACCTGTCTGAGTGTTAGTATTCTCAGCTATAAAATGAAGTACCCAACTCATAATTCTGCTTTTTTTTTTTTTTTTTTTTGTCTTTTGTCTTTTTTTTCCGTGTCCGGCAATGGATCGCAACCCTCAGTGTTGCCCCCGTACCGGACCGGAGACCGGCAACGGGATCGCAAGCCTCGGTGTTGCTCCCGCGCCTCGCTCAGCCAGTGAGCGGGAGCCGGTCTGCATGTGGGATCCGAACCCTCGGACGGGAGCGCCGCCGCGCTTCCCAAGCGGCGCACTATCCAGTGCGCCACCAGACCGGCCCGGTAATAATACTGCTGTTTTTAAAGAACAAAAATCTTTTTCCTGTACTCAGAACATAAGTACTCAAGAGATGGTTTCTTATAATTTACAAGGAGTGGTAGGTGAAGGAGTTCAATTATGCATCTTGGAAAATATATGGCAGTGAAATGTAGTATTTTACTTTAGAGTGGGAGGTAGGTTCTAAAGATAGTATATAAGGCAAAAGAAAAAAATTTAAATGCTTTATTAACTCATATCTCAAAAGTTTAATAACATAGAAATCACTTAATATTGGTTAGAGCATAATTCATTAGACCTTATTTGTGGGACTATTAGATTTGTACTTTCAGTTCTTTCTTAATTCTGTGCCAGAGCTCTTGAGTACTGATCATTCAGTAAGACTTCATTATCAATACTGGAAAATAACTCAAAAACACATTTTTAATAATAAATCTTTACCATATAAAAGATATGGTATGACTACAGATACACACATACACATTGCACAATAATAAAATAAAAATAACTTACAAGTTCTGTCAAATGTCTAAGATGTCCAATTTCTTCTGGAAGTGAGACCAATTTGTTATTACTAGCAATTAAGACTTTTAGTGGTAAATTACACAAGTGCACTGGCAATGTTGACAGCTGGTTCCGACTAAATGGATGAGTAGAAAAAGAAGAGTCAGAGCCCACCACTGAAGACAAAATTTCCATCTTCCCCATTCTATACTTAGTAAATTTACAAATATGAGTTTTGCAAGTAACAAACAGGATTTGAGTTCTAGTCTTCACTGGTTGTGAACTTTGTGGTTTTAGGAACAGCACCGAACTTATCTGCATCTTAACAGATTCTTCATCTTTAAATTAAGGATCTTAATATCTCCCCTATAGGGCTCATGCACCATAAAACTCCTTTGTAAATAATGAAGTGCAATATAAACACAACTTTATTTTATTAAAGTAAAATTTACATAAGATGATTTTAAAACAAAGTAGATAACTATCATCTTTTGTCTTTCTGAAGAAGAGTTATAAACATAAAATTGTTTATAATCTACCACCCTTGTCACTACAATACTATAACCAAATCTACATAAATGATTCAAATATAGCTCTATGGAAAACAAGTGATGGGTTGTGACTTTACATATCATATCAACTAAGTTACATGCAAGGGATTATTTATTTATATAAAAAATGCAAATCAAAAATAAAAGTAAAATAATAAAACATATCTATCATTAGGATAAAAATAAATTCAAACTGTACTTATGTAGATTTAACCTCAGTCATTTGTGTGTGTGTGTATATGGTGGCTGGCCAAGATAGGGATTTAACCCTGGAAACTGGTGTTATCAGCGCCACTCTCTAACCAACTGAGCTAACTGGACAGCTGTAACCTCTTTATCTTTAGGATTAATTCCCTCCCCATTTTTAATTATTCTAATTTTTATTATTTTTAGCTAATATATATCATGAGCCTTTATAACTTTTTAATCCGGTAACAATTCCACCCGCAAAGGGAAACGAGTGCTATTTATTTCGACTTTTAAAAATATTTATCTATTTATTTGTTTATTTTTGTCATAACAAAGTTGATTGTACATATCTATGGGGTACAGAGTTGAACATCAATACTTGTGTGCTATATTTGATGCTCATATCAGAATAATTATTATATTCAATACTATACACTATCATTGCTAGCCCTAACCTCTTAATCTTTAGGATCAATTCCCTCCCCATTTTTAATTATTTTAACTTTTATTATTTTTAACTACTATATATCATGAACCTTTACTACGTTTTAATCCAATAACAATTTTACTCCTAGACATTTACCCTAAAGAAAGACAAAAATAGGGCCGGCCCGGTGGCGCACTGCTACAGTGCGCCGCTTGGGAGCGCGGCGGCGCTCCCGCCGAGGGTTCGGATCCCACATACAGGCTGGTTCCCGCTCACTGGCTGAGCGAGGTGCGGGCGCAACACCGAGGGTTGCGATCCCGTTGCGGTCCCGGTCCGGTACGGGAGCGACACTGAGGGTTGCGATCCATTGCCGGACACGAAAAAAGACAAAAAAAAAAAAGAAAGACAAAAATAAATATTTACATACAAAGTTCTTTACTAGTATTACCTCTGTCGTGGTGAAAAACTGGTATAAGCTAAACATCTGAGAGGAAAATGGATTTTTATTTTTATTTATTTTTATTTTTTATTTTTTTGTCCTTTTTTGAGACCAGCCGCACCACACTCAGCCAGTGAGCGCTGTGAGCGAACCAGTCATCCCTATATAAGATCCGAACCCGTGGCGGTAGCGCTGCTGCGCTCCCAGCACCGCACTCTCCCGAGTCAACAAAGTGACTGATTACATATAAAAATATTTCCAAAGGATATTTCATGACAAGGGGAAAAACTCATTTAAAAATTTGACTAGGGCCGCCCGGTGGCGCACTGGAGAGATATGGGCCAAGGGTTCGGATCCCATGTGGAGACAAGTTCCTGCTCACTGGCTGAGCGCGGTGCGGGCGCAACACCAAGGGTTGCTATCCCGTTACTGGTCAGTAAAAAAGACAAAAAGGAAAAAAAAAATTTGACTAAAAGCCTGGGAAAAAAAAAAAAACCAGAAGGAAAAGATCACCTATAATTATAAAACTCAGATAAAACATTTTGATGAATTTCCTTTATACTTTTCTACAAAAACATTTATAACTTTCTTTTTTTTTTCCTTAAAAGATGACCGGTAAGGGGATCTTAACCCTTGACTTGGTGTTGTCAGCACCACGCTCACTCAGTGAGCTAACTGGCCATCCCTATATGGGATCCGAACCTGCGGCCCTGGTGCTATCAGCACCGCACTCTCCCGAGTGAGCCACAGGCCGGCCCAAAACATTTATTACTTTTACAGTGAAATAAAACAAGAGTTCTTATAAGATGTGAAAAAATGGAACAGATGAATTGAATAAATGCATTTATACATTCAAACTTAATACATATAAATACATGGTCACAAGAATCAAATCAAATAATTTCAGATCTACTATTCTTACTTGATGAAGCTAATTTGAAAATGTAATTGGAGAACAACTGCTGCAAGACTGCTGCAGGCCTATTAGGCTAACAGCTAGTAGGGTTTGCTAATTATTGCAAAGCCAAAGATAAAGGGAGAAACTAGAGTGACATAAGTAATACTGTTAATATATCCTGAGAACACATACAGAAACTGATATAAACAGATAATGTAAATAACTGTAAATATTTTAGTTAGAGAAGAGAAAATTGAAAAAAATCACATAAAGGGCCGGCCCGTGGCTCACTTGGTAGAGTGCGGTGCTGATAACACCAAGGCCATGGGTTCGGATCCTATATAGGGATGGCCGGTTTGCTCACTGGCTGAGCGTGGTGCTGACAACACCAAGCCAAGGGTTGAGATCCCCTTACCGGTCATCTTTTAAAAAAAAAAGAAAAAAATCACATAAAACCAAACAATTGAAAAAAAAGAAACAATATCCTTACCTAATATTTAAGAATGTTAGGGCTTGTAGGTTTAGAATTGCCTCTGGGATATACCGAATACAATTTTGGTACAAGTTGAGATTTTCAAGAGAAACGAAGTGACAAGCTTCTATAGGAATTTCTGAGAGGCGATTTCGTGACAGGTCTGAAAGAAAAAATAAATAAATCTTAAAATCAGTCCTTGCAATTTATTTTACTGAAATGTTAAATAAATAAGCAACTTTCATGATTATTTGAACTCTCCAGAGTTCCTGTGGTGGAGACTGGTCCAAAATAAGCATTCAAATATTTATTAACTGACTGAACAAACCATTTTAACATATGTCTCTAAACCCGCTGCTGGGAAATGTTGATTCCTTTTGAGTTTTCACATATACTAAAGAATAAGACCATTATTCTTTGCAAGAAACACAAATACTAAGGCATATCTGCATACAATTTACATCAAAGATCATATCACTAAGTTCCAAATATACTAGGAAACAAACGGATTCCTAAAATCTACCTTCCCAAAGGCACAGAACACATTGAGGTTTTTAGAAAAGCAAAACAAAGCGAATCAAGAAGTACTGTTTCTTTCTTCACCAAAGATTATCAAGGTCATGCCAAAAGGACTCAGGAACCATTTTGCTCCTATTGACTAAAGGTGAGACAATTTGAGCTTCAATAAAGATAATTCCAATGGATTGAAATCCATCACATATATTGAAGTACATGAATTTATAACGACACACGCAGTCCACAAAAAAGATGACAGAGAACTAATTCATTATCTTGTAAACTGGTAAACTAAGGGGGAAAAAATCAAATATTTATCCTGCCTTCTCTATATAAAGGTACCAGTGAGTAACCAAATAGATGAAGGAAAGCATCTTGTTTTAACTATGAATGAAAAAGAATGATAGAATATCCCCATTTTGCAACTTACAATGAATTAATGGATCTAAATCAATGGCTGTTATTTTTACAAAGTCAATCAGACATTGTATGCCTCCACTGGTAGAACAGAACATCACCTACGGTTTTGTCAAAGTGACAAAACCTGAGTCTAATTAAGCTTCTGGATCAGCTACAAACTTTGAGGAAATTGCAGAGGGATATGCTAATATACCATCACTCTATCATTATCCATTTAGATTTCATTAAATATACTGTGGGATTCATTTGTTCACCGTTTTGTCTCTTCTTCTGTTTTTCTATCTTAAAATTTCTGTTGGGAATTATTTGATAAGAATCCCTGATTGAGACCTGATTAATACAATGGTACTTTAAAACTTTCATGGAAAGGTTCAAATTATCTTTCAACCCATTTCTCCATGAACTTTTTAAAACTACCCTAATATATCCTCTGAATTCCTATATATCTGGCAAATATCTTGTTTCCACCATAACAAGTAAATGACACTTTGGCTAGATATAGGCACAGTTCTTTTCTTAGCAATCTGTAGATGTTATTCTACAACTTTCTAGTTTCCAGTGTCACACTGAGCAGTCCAGCGCAAGTCTGATTACTTTTCTTTTGTAAGCAGCTTGTTCTGTCTGTCCACTATCCTCAACATGCTAGTCTGGAACTCAGAGAGCTCTTTCAGTCCTTCAAACCAGAGGAATTCTCTATCTTCAGTTACATATCCTCCATTTGCTTTCTTCTTTTATATATATATATACATATAAGATTTTGTATATATATGTATTTTCTGTTCTGATATACTCTTCTACTTAATCTTCCAGACCATAAATTTGAGTCTCAACAAAAATCTACTCCACAAATTAAATTAACATAGATGAGTTTTTTCCACTCTTTTTGTTTTAATCTTTTATGCTATGATTAGAAGCATGTCATACTTTGTTTCTCTCGAGAATCTCAAGATAATTTTTGTTCTGCTTGTTAAACTTGTCGTTTTTCTCTTCCAATAGTTCTATTTCACTGAAGTCACTTGTTCTAGATATTCTCCTTGTTCACCCTTTCTCTGACTGTTGGAATTCCTTTAAGTGAATTATTTTCCTTTGCCAATTCATGGCTCTCCTCATCCTTGAAACTCAGGTCAAGCTGCAAGGTACCCTGAATGGCAGTTAACACCAAAACAGTAGAATTAACCTCTAAAAGGGTTAGAACTAAGCATCCCCTTTGGGGCACAACTATTTCTGGGAACCTAAAAGTTTTGGCTTTTACCTCCTGTTTCCATTTGGATGCCAGGATATCCTTAGACTCATTCCCTATGGGCCCTATTTGCCTGCCAGCCCCAGAGCTGGTTCACTCTAAGTGGTAGTTAGTAAATGAAGTTGCCAAAATGCCTCCTTACACTGTATTCATTTGGAAAAAATTAAAGTCCAGGTAACAGAAGGCGTTAAGTACTTCAGACTAAAAATTTCCCATAGAATCATATTTTGAATACCTTTAATACAAAGTGCAACAAAATTATTTTATCAACTCCTATTTAAATTATGTTAGAGTGTGTGTGTGTATTTTTCTTGGGGGGGGAGGGGCGGCTGTGGCTGGCCAGTAAGGGGATCTGAACCCTTGACCTTGTATATTAGTGTAATTTTAAAAGTTGAAGAAATGAAAGAATTTTTTTATTATAATAGCAGAAAATGGATGGAAATGAAAGAAATTTTAAAGACATTTACAAACTGGCTCCTTAAAAATTTAAATTTAATCCAATAAAGATGACTTCAGCCAACAAATTAAAATTAAGAAGAGACTATTTAAAGTCAGTTAGCTTAATATTTGTATTATAAACTTGAATTATTTAAAATCCAGAAAAATGTAACAGATAACTTCCATCTTTTTATTTGTTCCCATACTAATGAGGGTGAAAAAATGACTAGACATACACTGAGCTTAGATTCATCTCAATATACAACTCCTCCTTAATTTTTTAATAATTAGCTCATTTAAGACATCATCTGTCTACTTTTAAAATCAGAGTTTTTAAGGGCTCTCCAAGTGTTCCCACTTAAACTGTATTTGGATTTTACTCTGGAAAGATAAGTGGCTTCTTTCTTGTTTTAACTGAGTAATCTTTTAACATGCTGTAAATTCATGAATGAAGATGAAGAGGTAGGGTATATAATTGAATAAAAAATATATGAATGAAGAGACTGGATTAGTCACTTGGGTCATAGATCATATTAGGGAAAACTGCAAAATAATACTGGCTTATAAAGGATATTTGTTGCCATACTCCTTCAAGGAGGAAGTAATTTTACAAGTTTACATCCAAAGGAATGTGATAAAAGAGGGAAAAAAAAACAAACACATTCTATCCTCTTCAGCTCAAAAACAAAAGAAAAAATACCTGGATATATTTTATTTTTAAAACGTTTTTTCCAGTTACAAAAGCAATGCATGTTAACTTCATAATGGAGAAGACTACATTAAAACATACATGCATTCAAAGAAATAAACTAACACTAGTACCATGGAAGCCCCAATGTAGCTCTTCCTGATCATAACCCATTCCTTCCCGAAAAGATGTAGCCAATATAGTGATTTTTGTGATAATCATTTCCTTGATAGTTTTATAGTTTTAAACATTTTATAATCTGCAGCTTTGCCTCCAGTGTTAATTTCTTATTGCTGCTGTAATAAATTACCACAAACTCATTGGCTTGAAACAACACAAACTTGTTATTTCCCAGTTCTGGAGGTCAGAAGTGGGAAATGGGTCTCACTGGGCCAAAATTAAGGTGTCAGGAGGGGTTCATTCCTTCTGGAGCCTCTAGAAGAGAATATGTTTCCTTCCCTTTCCAGCTTCTAAAGGCTGTCCACATTCCTTGGCCCCATTCCTCCATCTTCAAGGCAGCAATGTCAGGCTGAGTCCTTTTTCATGCTACCATCTCTTTGGTTCTCCCTCTTCTGCTGCCTTCTGCTTGTAAGGATCCTTGTGATATTGTCTGCTACCTGCTTGTCCTTCTCCCATTTACCCCCAGGATGATCTTCCTATATTAATATCAGCTGATTAACAACTTTAATTCTCCTCACCATACAATCTAACATATTTACAGGTTATAGAGATTAGGATGTAGACATCTTTGGGGTGGCCATAATTCTGCATACCATGCCCCCGAACTTTTCTAAGAGTAGAAGCATACTGCATGTATATTCTTTTGTGACCTTCTCTCAATATTTGAAATTCATTTATGTAGTTGCATATGAACTTTTTTATTAGTTCATATAATTTATATACAGATTCTTTGGATTGTTCTGTATCTATAATTACATCATTCCATGAATAATGAAAGCTTTGTTTCTTCCTGTTTGGTACTTATTTATTTGCTTATTTAATTCCTTTACTGTGCTGACTAGGTTCTCCAGTACAATGCTGAATAAAAGTGGTAACAATGACAGTATTTCCTTCATTTTCATTGTCTTCATAGTATTCTATGTCACAATTCATTTACTCATTCTACTACTAATGATCATTTGATTACACACTGATCTAGATATATATCTACAGAATACATAATAACATACATGTACCTTCAGCTTCACAAGAGAATGCCGAACTGTTTTACAAAGTAGTTGTACCAATTTACAGATCTACCAGCAGTGTACAGAGTTCTTGGGGCTTCATATCCCTGACAAACTTGTCATGTTTTAATTTCTGTATGGTGGCATCTCATTTTGATTTTGATTTTCATTTCCCTTATTATGAATAAGGTAGGACAGTTTTTCATGTTTTCTGGCTTTCTAGATTTCCTTTCTTGTGACGTGTCTGCTCAAGTCTTTTGGTTTGTAGGAAATCTTTACGAATTCTAAATATGAGTCCTTAATCAGTTATACGTGTTACAAATGTCTTCTTCCACTTTGTGGCTTGAAGTTTCACTCTCTTTATGGTGTTCTTTGATGACAGCCTTCACTTTTAACAGAGTAAATTTTTTTATTAATCTTTTCCTTTATGGCTGTTTTTGCAGTTTTAAAGGAATTCTTTCCTTACCCTAACATCATAAAGATACTCTCTTCTAAAAGTTTTACAGTTTGACCATCACATTTATCAGAAATTGATTTTCTGGTATGATGTGATGAGGTAGGCAGCCAAGTGCATCTTTTCCACAGGGATATCTAATTGTTCCAGGGACAGTTACTGAAAAGAACATCTTTCCCCCCACCATTTCCCTATAACATCTTTGTCGTATATTAGATGT